GCCCAAGCCCAGCAGCGACACGGCCTGGACGAACACCTTGCGGAGATCCGCAGGGCTGAAAGCCCACAGTAGCTGCCCGGGCGGCGTCGCCTTCGAGAGCGCCTCGAGCAGCGGGTTGAGCCACGCGCCCAGGTCCACGAGCACCGACTCCTCGAAGAGGCCCGTCTTGCCCGGCTGGGCCTCCGCCACGTCGTGGAGCAGGAGCCCCCACGCCTGGTAGGCGGGCCCCGCAATGGCGGAAGGAGCCACCAGATGCTGGGCCTTCGGCTCGACGCACTCGCACGGGCGGAGGTAGCACACTAAGGACACCATGATCCACAGCGCCATCCGCGACTGGCCGAGGGCCAGCATGACACCCGCGATCGCGAAAGTAGCCGATCGCGGCAGCGGGCAGCGTGTGAAGCTGGGCACCCGACGCTTCCAAGCCACCGCCGCGCGCCAGCTCTGCAAAAGCCCCGACTTGCCAGCACGCCGCACCTCCGGCAAGAAGTGCGTCAGCGCCGCAAGCAGCTGGCTCCCCTCGGCCGCCGCCACGCCAGAGTGGAACTGGCTGTTGAGGAAAAGCAGCACGGCCAAGTCGAGCTCGCGGCGGGTGGCCCAGGAGATCTGGTGGAGGATGCGGTGATCCGTGAACTTGCGGCACGCCGAGCGGTAGAGCTCCTCGGTCGACTCCTTGATCGCCAGCTGCTCCAGCGAGGTGAGCCCGGTGACGGGCTTCCTGCCCTGCAGCAGGCACCGCGCCAGTGTGGCGCGAGTCTGCGACTGCCGACTGCGGCCCAAGGCCCCGGGAGCTCGCCGCGCCATCAGCTGTCGGACTGTCGGGGCCGCCTGTCTCGGCAGCTGGAGAAGGCTCAGCCCAGGCGCGCAGAGGGCGCGCGCCCGAGAACCACCCTCTGTGCCCACGTGAGAACGGGCCCGAGGGGTCGAGCTCTGAGGCGACCCACCGAACGTAGACCCGAGATCCCGCGGCCAGGCTGAGAGCTGCCAGCTTGTGAAGAGGCCCTCTAAGATGACGAGACCGCGCTCCCCCCCTGGTGGCCGCGAGGGCCAGGGGCAGGTTATCGACCAGAGCGACAATACGTTTACCGTAAGCCTGCGAACTCCGAAGAAAATGGCGAACTGCTAACACCAGTGCCTCCCCCTCGAGCTCCAAGATGTCGGGGCCCTCCGAGATCTGCACCGCGGCCACGCCAGCCCAAGACGAAGCCTCCAGAACATCTCCAGGGATCTCGTCGAAGACGGCCTCCGAAACGTTCAGGAAGGGGCCTCCAAGAGATGTGGAAGATGAATAGCTGGGCAGAGGAGGTGACGAGGGGCAGAGGTGACGCAGCGCTCTTTCACGGGCTCGTGAACCACCCTCGACTCGACAGCGCCAACGCTCGGACTGACGCCCAAGCTCCGCGACACGGTCGGTCGGGAGCCGCCGCCGCACAAGCCCGAGCCCGAACTCGGATGCATCGGACGCGACCACCAGCCCATGCCAGCGAGCGAGCACGTCGGCCTGTAGAAGATGAAGCAGGCATCTCACGCGCCACAGCTCCTCACGCACCGAGCGCCACAGCGCTAGAGCCTGGCTGCCGGCCTTGGCGGCGAACGCGTACGACGCCCGCAGCAGGCGCAGCGCTTCACGCTCGAGCAGCGCCGACCACGTGACATGGCCAAGCAACACCTTCATGAGCAGCCCGCTGCACTTGCCAACGCGGAGGAGCTTCTCGATCGACAGCCGCAGACGCCACAAGCACTTGGGCCGGACTGCCAGGAAACGACCCTCCGAGAGGCTGAGCCCAAGGAACTCCGCGTCGTGGCTGGCCGGCTCCCGGTCGTGGACGACGAGTCCCAGCTTCTCGAGCTGGCAGCGCACGCTGTCGCAGTGGCGGCCCGTGCTGCTGGCCTCCGCACCCATCACGAAGGAGTTGCCCACGTAGCCGGCGGCCACGGGGGGCTCTCCATGCCGCGCCTGCCGCCCGGGCTGACCGTCCTCGATGAGGCTGCTCGCCGGGAAGCCGCCGAGGCTGATGCCGCGCCTATGGGCGCCCTGGCACAGGTGGAGGGCCCACGAGAAGCCCATGGGCAGCACGCGCAGACGCGGCGTGATCGGCTGCCCCGCACCAGCCGGCAAGTCGGAGACCCCGCCGTTCAGCGGCATCCCCGCGCCCAGGCTCGGCAAGGAGAAGCGCCCGACCATGTCAGGCGGAACCAGCATGTGAGAGAAAGCCGCCTCCAAGCCCTCCGAGGCGACGAAGACCTTCTCATCCGCCTCCAGCGCGCCAGGAAGCCGAAGGAGTACGCAAGCGCGTCGAAGGGGCAGACACGAAATCACAGTTGATGACCCGCGTGTCGAAGATGATCCGAAGGCGTTCATCTTTGCGCTTGACGAAAAACAGTCCGAGGTCGCCGCCGTGCCCACGCTTCCAAGTCAGCATCCCACGGCGCCAAGCCTCTCTCAGAAATGTAGCATATTCACGAACGTTGTGCTGCAGCACCGGGTCGACGCATGCGCCCCGAGGGCAAGCCTCCGCGCGGGGGCTCCGAGCAGCCTGAGACGGTCGTAGCACGCGCTCCTTCCAATCCCTAAGCCACGAGGCGTCCACTTCACCAAGCAAGTCGGTCAACGGGATGGGCTTGCTGGAAGTGGAAGGCCAGGCGATCTTCTCGCCGTCGCAGGGAGCGACGGGCCCGCCACCACTGGTGGAGCCGGGCGCGCCTGACAGGAGCGCACTGAGGGCTCCCCGTCCTGAAAGGAGGTCTGCAGGAGGTTGCCCGACACGTCGATAGCAGCGGCGAACGTGATCCAGGGCCAGTCGCTGACCTGCATTGAGGCCGACGCCGGAGCTGGAAACAAAACTGCCGCACAAGTCATTCAACGCGTCCGCGCCCTCGGCAGCCCAACGATCAACATGGGCAGCGCGAAGGCAGCGGCGGGCAACGCAGCGGCTGACAGGGACCATGTCAAAAATGTCGGTCTCAAGCTCCAAGGCGGGCAGCGGGGAGAGGTCACGCTGGCGGGCCTCCTCCATGACCTGAGAGGAGCGGAGAGCACCGTGGGCTGGTGGCGCGGCGGGGGCGCCCAAGATCCCCGCCGCGGGGCGATCGCGCATCGCCACCCTGCCCTCGCTGTCCCTTCTTGCCAAGCTTCATGGCGGAGGGCATCGGGAGGGCTCGTTCCTCGCGCCTTGGCAAGTGCGGCCTCACGGGCCGGATGTGCGGCCGCGACGGACTGCAGCAGCAGGCAAACACAGAGGTTCTGCTCCACGATCCCGACGTCCGAGTCGGTGAGGCGGCACGTCGTCTTGAACATCAGATACCGCCCGAGAGGCGGGCCCCGATTCTGGCAGATGAATCTCCAGACACAGAGGCACGTCCTAGGCCCAGAGTGCCTCTGAACAGACCAGGGATGCTCGACCAACCTGAGCACACCACCCCTGAACTCGATGTGCCACTGACCCAGCATGTCGAAGGAGGCCGCAAGGACCCGCGGGTTGGGAGGGGCCACGCCAGCGCCAGCGGCAGGGGCCCCGGGCAAAGGCGCCAGGACGGACTGCGCCACGACGGGCGCCACCGGGGCAGCGGCTGGAGCAGCAGCGGCCGCAGCGGCCGGCGGAGGGGCCGCCAAGGCCCCAGGGACCGCTGGCGCGGCCGCGGGAGGCGCTCCAGCGCCAGGGGCGGCAAGCGGGGGTACATCGCCACCAAGGGCAGCGACCAAGGCGCCGACTCCCCCGCCCAGCCCTGGGGCGCCGTCAGCAGCCACGGCAGCGGGGGCTGCGGCAGGTGCGCTCGGGTCGACAAGGGCGTGGACGCCCGCGGCCACCCCGAGCACGTTCCCCGCGGCGAGCTCGAGGTTCAGGGTATCGCCAGCTGACCGCGCCAAAACCCGCAGCGACTCCGCGCCTGATAGCAGCCCAAGCCTCAGCAGTGGTTGGCCGGCGCGCGCCGAAACCGATGCACGGGAGTACCGCCAATGCCAGCGGGAGCACCGCCCTGGCCGACGAGCCCGACGACCTCTGCGATGTCCGGCGTCGGCGCGGTGTCCCCTATCGTAGCTGTCGTCCTCAGGAGTCAAGATGTAGGACAGTGCACCCCTCTCGCCCAACGTCACTCTCTCATGGAAGAAGGGGACCGGGAGCGCGGCATCTGACCAGGTAAACGGATCCAGCCATCACTGAGCCTGGGAGCGCCTGAGCTGGCTGGCTCGCGCCTGCTCGATCGCGAGGGCGTGGAAGTCAACCACCTCGGCTGACTCACGCTCGGGCCCCGGCCAGGCGCGCGCGCGGTCGCCGAGGGCGACGCGTGGGCGCGGCCCTTCGCCTCCGACAACCTGGTACAGCACACTCCCGAGCCGACGGACCAGTGTGAGCACAAGCTTAGCACTCTCCACGAAAAGCAGCCCCAGGAGCCCGGTCCCAACCTGCAGCGTCCAAGAAGGTGACGACGACTCGCCTGCCTCAGGGCAGGCCGGGCGAGGGGTACACGGTGAAGGGCACCCTGGCGTCGGGCTGGCAACCGCAGCTGCCGCGATGCAGTCCGACAGCGGTACCAGCACCTCGGGCGGCCCCTCCCGCTGCAGCGCCGAGAACTCGGGCTGGACCACGCCTGCAGCCGCCGAGGGAGCGGAGGGTGGCAGCCTCGGCGCAGCCTGCCACCACCAGCGCGCCACGCCTATGGCACTCAAGTGGCAAAAGACTGAAAAGCCAAGGCCGCGCGCGACCATGGGCTGGGGGCAGGCTGAGCCCCGCTAAGACTTGAGCAGACACGTCGACGGCAGGCGTCGATGCGGCGAGCCCTCGGGGCAAAGACACGTCACTTCAGCTTGTCGAAAGCGACCATATATAGGAGGAGGGGGAGGAGGACGAGGGGGAGGAGGAGGAGGAGAAGAAGAAAGAGGAGGAGTGGAGGAGGAGGAGGAGGAGGAGGAGGAGGATCCTCCTCCTACTCCTCCGCCTCCGCCTCGGCCTCCTTCTCCGCCTCCGCCTCCTCCTCCTCCTCCTCCTCCTCCTCCTCCCCTTCCGGGTCCCTTCGGGTTTCGAGGGGCGCATCCCCAGCTGGGGTGGTGGGATGGTGAAGCTGGGGTACCGTGGCCCGACGAAGAGGGGGGTCGGGCAGACTATACCAAGCCACGCTGTGCGCTTCTGGGAGACATCGGCACACGCATCGCATGCCGCGTGCCAGTCAGGAGCCAGCCAGTGCAATCGAGATCCTGACTCCAAGCCTCTGGCCTGAATCACCATCGTGCACCTTTAGCAGCGCGGAGGCTGCACGCAAACTGCCCCGTGTCCGGAAAGGCCGCCGCGAAGCGCGAACGTATATCGAGCCTTTTGCGTTGCCAGGTCTTTGCAAACATACCTTTCTGTGGGACGGGGAGCGCGACCACAGAAACGATGTTGCAAACATACCTGGCGTTCGCATCAAAGCGCCTTGCTTTCACATTCTTCAGAAGCCCTCCTGCTCATTGCTTGACGTTCGGCGAGCAGCAAGCCCACAGCGACAAGTACGAGTCCCGAGGCCTTCCGGCCATCAAACAGCTTGCCTGGAAACAGCACATGCGAGAGTAAAATCGACGCTGTTTTTCGCAACGTCCCGACTCCAACTGCAAACACTGATCCAGCGGTCCCAATCAGTTCGGTGTAGCACGTCACACTGCCAGCAAGGGACAAACCAATGCCCAATACAAGTATGATGGCGTGCGGTACTTCGCGAGCAAATGCGAGAACGCTGGAAACATTGCCGGAAAGTCCGACGGAGACGACACTGCCCAGTGCGCCGACAAGATTAGTTCGCGCCATGAGTGTGGCAGCATTTACCCCGGATCGCATCACACGCTGCTGGGCGTTTGGCACGAGGCCGTCGAAGAGACAAGACATACCGAGTGCGGCAACGCCGTAGAAAAACCAAGCTCCGCTTGCTGAGTTCGAAGAGGCTGGGGACTTCCCAGAACCATAAGAGAAAAGCGCCGTGCCCACACAGAGCAATGCTCCTGCTGCGTAATCGAAGATGCCGTATCTGGCAGAATTCCCACAGACGCTTGCGATGAGCATCGTCGGCAAAATCTTGCTCGATTTCGCAACGATCTTTAATGTGAAGTCAACGTAGAGCGTAGCATGCTGCGACATGCAGTTCGCAACGAATACCATCGCAGCGATTGCGACATACCACGCCCACGCACGCAATGGTGATAGGGCACTGGAGGCATCTACCTCACATGCACTCCTCTGCGGCGCAAGCAGGCGCGGGAGGGACGCACAGCAGATGAACTGCGCAGCAACACTCCACAGTATGATTGCATGAGGCACGTCGGGGAGGGACACCAAGGCCTCGTTGAGCGTCTCGAAGAGCAGGTGGCACATGAAGAACCCGGCCGCCAACACCCAGCAGCGGGCAGGTGCACGAGCTCTCGGCACCATCTCGCCGCGGCCGCCCCCGCTGCAGATCCGACGAAACCCGGGGCTCGGACCGCGGCCTGGGCCCACACGGCCAAGGCCCGACCTCTCGAGGGCGAGGCGGCAGCCGTCCAGGCGATGCCAGAGGGGGGTCACAAGACTCACCCCGACACGCGGAGCCGTCCAGGAAGTGCGCCCAGAGAAGAAAAAACGAACGGGGCGGAGCCGTGATAGTCCACGCCCAGAGCCGCTCGGTCAGCGCCACCTCGTCGGGTCCGGTCGGTTTTCCCCTCCTTGATGCTCGGGGGCGTGGCCACTGCCCCGAGGCAGCGGAGCCTCCTCGGAAGCACGCGGGGGGCCCCAGGGCACGACCCCAAAAACTTCCAGGCACCTCCCCGAGCGCTCCGATCCCGAAGAGCCCCGGCCCGCGGGTGGCGACCGCCCTCGGCACCGACCCCGAGTCCCGGTGGTGCGGCCAACGCATGCCCTCTTCGTGGGCAAAGCGTCGACCCGCCCCCGCCTTCGCCTGCTCCGCCTCCTCCCCCAGGAGAGCACAGGATCGAATCGGCGTGTCGGATCGGCGTGTCGGAACGAATCGGATTGGCGGAAACCGGCAGGCGAGTCGGGAAAAGCCGAGACGCCAGACACGGCAGGCTAGCAGCTCTCCCTTGAGAAGTCGGATCCCAAATCGCAATCCGAAGTCAAATCGAATGGGCATCGGAATCCATCGACATCGAATCTAATCGAATCCGAGGAATCGGAATGAGCCCTGCCACCCCCATGCCCCACCCCCTCTTAATCGTCGGCCTCCACCTCCCCTTCCACCACAGCCTCGTCATCCGCAGATACCTCCTGGCAAGTGTTCCCCTTCTATCGCGTCGCAACAACTAAGACCTGTTGGACTTACTACAACCTCGAGGCAATCGAGACACACCACGACCTAATCCTTGCTCCTCTTCGAACGCACGCTGGCACACATATAAGCAGGGTGGTGGGGGGCATGCGTTTGGAGTCTGTAACATCGGGGGGGCGGGGGCCAGACATGCTCAACTTCATCGATGATGCCGCCATGACGATGATGGGCCGATGTTCCACCACCACTACCAGATGAAGAAGAGGGAGGAGGAGGAGGAGGAGGAGGAGGAGGAGGAGGACGAGGAGAAGGAGGAGGGGGAAAAGGAGGAGGAGGAGGACCTCCCCATCCTCCCTTCTCCTCTGTCCTACCTATGGTAGTGGCGGTGGAGAATTGGCCCATCAGACGAAACGTATGAGCGGTGTCCAGGTGGCCACGTGGGGACGACGATGCATCGGCATGGAGCTGCTTGAGACTGCCTGGCAGCACGCGCTCCTCTGCAACACCAGACTGCAGGCGCGAACACGGAGAGGCAGTCCCGATTGAGACTGGGAAGCACCGTCTTTGAAGGGGCCCTGGGACACACAACGAAATAGACACGAACAACAGGGTCCCCCATATGTTTCCCATATGTTCTGGGTTTTTTGTCTCCCCCCCCCCACACACTTCCCGTATGTTCCCATATTTCCTGGGGAGTCGACGATTAATTGTGTCCGTGCCTGTGTGTTTTTCACTCCTGAGCCTTACGCTCCCAGGGACGAGGTCGGCTGGCCGCCTCCCACGAGCTTCTGCTCGAGCCCCGGGGGCGGCCAACGCGTGCCAAAGACACGCGGCAAACGCACGGAGACCCTCACCGGCTTCCGAAGTCGCAAATACGTGGGAGCTCGACCACAAAACCCTCCACACACACAACAAAAAAAGCACACACACACACAAACACACACACACACACGCACACACACACACACACATTCACCCCACACACACACACACACACACACACACACACACACACACACACAAACACACACACACACACATACACACACACACATACACATAAACACGCACACACAAGAAACCCAACCCTGAGACCCCAGGACGTCCATTGATGTTTGGTGTGGGGACGTCAAGCTTCCCACAGCAAAACCACCGAAACCCTAGAAACCCAGGGCAACCTGGAGGCAAAAAAGGGGGGTCTCTTAGCACGGGCTTCCACTACAGATGGGTGACGATTCCCGCAGTGCGCTTTCCCCAAGGAGCTCGCCCTGCACGGGACAGCACTCCCTGAGCAATACTGTCGACCCCCCACCCCTGCGTAGCGTTAGTGAGCGTTTTCTTATCCGGCGCTTCGACACTGAACGAAGAGGGGGGGGAGGGGCGGGTCTGGATATGGACTCCGGACCTCTGCTTAGGGCGACTGTTTGCGATTGTGCGTCCTGTGAGGGGGGACTCCACCTGCTCGAAAGTGGCGCCCAAAAACAGCCAAGATCTACTCCATGGGGGGGGGGGCCCGCGTCGATCGGCAAAGCAATGAATAAAAAACGATCACTTGGCAGGTTGGTCCGAACGTTGTTTGCTGCGTGCGCCCGCAGTCAGTTCGCATGCTGCTTTTGGCAGGGGCAGTGGGCCGGCGCGCACCGAAAACCGCTCTGACCCCTCGCCATCGTGCAAGCAACCTCGCTCTGATGCTCATTCCTGAGGTTAGGTCGGGCGTGTCCTCCTGCAGGGGGATTTTGGACGAAACATAAAAACATGCTCGACAAATACACAAGCAATGCTCAAACATACATTGAACAAATCGTCCCCTGACTATGGTTTGACTATTGCTGGATGTCCTAAGGTTGACGAGCTCGAATGCAATGGCGATCTTTGGGAGGCCCCCTCAGAAACTGAGGTAACCCTTTGAGATCGGCGTCGAGAAAAGGTGATACCGATCACAAGGACAGGGATATGTTTGAGACTCGCACTCTTTGTCAAAAGCCATGCGATGAAGATCTCCCACGGACTCTTGAATCCAGGCGACAGGCAACGCGCGACATGATCGGCCGGATGTGCGATGCAGCCAGAAGAGTGCGGGAGGCTCGCGGCTCCTGGAGGCCGAAGTTGACAAAAAAAAAAACAGGATTGGAGACATCAATCCGCGACAAAGTCTGGGGACGACGGCGACGACACCTTCGACAACACACTCGACGACCCCCAGGCCTCAGACGTCGCGATATCTGCTCGAGGCGTGGACCCCTGGTGCTGTGGACCTCCTTCCCCGACCTCTGCTCACGGCCCCAACGCGCCCGCAGCAGGCCCCCGAGAGCCCAAACTGCAAGCCGATCCGCCGGAGGCCCGGGAACGACGACGAAGACGGCTACGGCGGCGGCGACGACTACGGCGACGCGGCGGCGACGACACCGCCGCGGCGGCAACGACGACAGCGACAACCGGCGGCGAGGACGCGGAGGGGGCGACGCGGCGCCGGCGGCGACGACACAGCCGCGGCGGCGACGACACCAGCGACGACTGGCGGCGGCGGCACGGCGGCGGCGACGACAGCGACGCGGCGACGGCGGGCTCGACAACGACGCGTTTCACGGGCCGCGCCGACGCAGCAGGAGCGGCGACGACCGCTGCGAGGGCGCGGCCGCAGGGACTAGCAGCGGCAACGCGGCGGCGGCGACGGCGGACGACGACGACGACGACGACGACGACGACGACGACGACGACGACGACGACGACGACGACGACGACGACGGCGGCGGAGGCGGCGACGACGACGACGACGAAAGCGACGCGGTGGCGGCGCCACCGACGCGGCGGCTGCGGCGGCGCGGCTGAGACAGCGCGGCGGCGGGGACTGCGAAAGGCGACGACCACGGTGACGGCCTCGGCGCCCTCGGAGGGGCCCACCGCGCGCGCGCAGCTGGTGGCCACCAGCGCCCGGAGCCTCGGCGCGTCCGCGAGCGCCGCGGCCACATCCTGGGAGGACTTGCTTGCTCGTCGTCGTCGCCGCCGCAAGAAGGCCTTAGACCAGGACGCACAAGGACATGCTAGTACTATGCGTCCTCCTTGGAGGCGCGCGTCCGACCCGAACATCTAGTATACCCATCTTGTAGTATATCGTTTACCGAGCGGTGTGGCCAAAAAGTGCCCGCCACGACGCATACTATGAGATTTCTCGGTTCGCGCGTCGCCCCTGGTGGGGGCGACGCGCATATTATTAGCATATTGGGGTGGCGCCGACAGAGTTTCCAAAAGTGCCCTCGGGGGCCGTTTGCGGGCCCCTGTGCCATCAAAAATGAATCTGGGGAGGCAAGCGGGCTCCGGGGACGGAGTCGGGACCTCTGGGGCCGAAGGACCTCCCCGCACGCTCCGCCACCGCCATCGAAGGCTCCCAAGCGCCCAAGACATCCTCCAGAGAACGGCCATCCCGAGTCCAAGCTCCCAATTCCCCAAAACCGTGCGTTCATCCCGAATCCTCTCAGGCTGACTACACCGGCATGGTCCCCGCACCGCGTGGGGGCCCCCAGGGGTCTCCAGGGTCCCCGAAAGGCCTCCGGAGACCTTCGGGGAGGAGGAGGAGGAGCAGGAGAAGGAGGAGGAGAAGAGGAGGAGGAGGAGGGCAGGCATGAGGAGGAGAAGGAGGAGGAGAAGAGGAGGAGGACGAGGAGGAGGAGGAGGAGGAGGAGGAGGAGGAGGAGGAAGGGGAGAAATGAGGAGGAGAAGGAGGAGCAGCGAGGAGGAGGAACGATGGGGGGGCGAGAGGGAGGAGGAGGAGGAGGAGGAGGAGGAGGAGAAGGAGGAGGAGCGAGGAGAAGGAGGAGGAGGAGGAGGAGGAGGAGGAGGAGGAGGAGGAGGAGGAGGAGGAGGAGGGGCCCCCCGGGAGGCGGAGGCATGCAGAGAGCGTGAAGCATCCAGCTGGCTGGAACGCACAGAGGCCGCGGAGGGCGGCGCGCACGCTGGGGCAGAAAGAAAGGGAGGGGGCGATGAGCGGCAGCAAGGAGCCGCGAGGAGAAGGGGGCGAGGGGCGAGGAGTAGCGAGGAGCAAAGAACCTCGAGGAGCGAGGGGCGAGGAGGAGCGAGGAGCAAGGAACCTCGAGGAACGAGGAGGAGCGAGGAGCAAGGAACCTCGAGGAGCGAGGAGCGAGGAGGAGCGAGGAGCGAGGAGCGAGGGGCGAGGGGCGAGGAGGAGCGAGGAGCGAGGAGCCTCGAGGAGCGAGGAGGAGCGAGAAGCGGAGGAGCGAGGAGGAGCGAGGAGTGAGGAGGAGCAGGGTGCCGACGAGGATGACTTGGGAGAGAAGGGAGGGAGAGTTCCTGCTCTCCCCCCTTTCCCTGCTGTTGTGTTGGAAGGCTCGAAGGCGGAGGGGAGAGGATGGCGGCGCCCGGTTGTCCTCCAGCTAAACAGTTCACGAGGCTCGCTCGCATGC